TGTATATGTATATATATATATAGACGTCTGGGTGGAGAAAAACTCGGGGACCGTCGGGCCCTGTGAGGCTACCGAGCCATCTTGGATGCTTTCGGGCGCTTCCCCCGTTTCAGCCGCGCCGGGTCCACGGCTGCCCGCCTCAGCAGAGCTTCCTTTTCCCCATCTGCCTAGAGGGGATGAGTGGGGAGAGGGATAGGAGGTCACCAGGTGGCTTCTACTTCTTTTTCTCTAAGTCTTGGTGAGAAATCCTGCAGCTTTTCTCAGGCTTTTGGCTCGGTTCCACCGGCAAAAGTCTTCGTGATCGGTACCTTTGCTGAAGGAGTCTTTTGGAGGGTTCCAGGTCCGTTTGGCGCTCCCTGACAAGCTCAGAAGTGCAGAGTGCACGATGGAGGAGCGTCGCTTGCACGTCTTAGGTGCAGGTGTCGCCGGGCTGAGCGCGATTGCAACGGCGCACTCGCTGGGTTGCAAGGCCAGGAAAACTGGATTAGATTCGATTCGTAGCCGGAAGGGCCCGCGTATAGCTTGCTGGAAATCTACCTCTCTCAACCTCTGGGTAGACAACGCAGTGCCAAAAAGCACTCCTGACCCGTGCTTGGATTCTTCTGCCGCTGACCTGGCCAGGTCTTTGCGAATGATGTGCGCGATGCCGCCCGCGAGCAGGTGGAGTCCATGGGCGCCCAGTTCATCGCCGTCGACGCGCAGGGCATCGCAGGCTCGGCCCCGGGGAAGTTGAGGCCCCCCCCCCCGGGTTGTTTTTGAAGCAAAGCGTTGCGTCCATCGAGGTGAAGGTGCTGGTGGTTATGCCACGGTCAAATCCCAAGTGAAGTTCCAGCTCCATGGGAGCGCTGGCGCCGTCTTGTCTCTGTGTGAGTACTGAAGGTCATGGGGGAGGATTTCACCCGGGCTCAGATTGCCACCTACGCCCGTGTCATCCCCGACATGGACCTGTCCTGAGGGGTGCGAGGGTCTTTGCCCTTAGGGCCTTAGGGCCAGGGCTGGGAGGGTTTTTTGATATGCGCTGAAAGGACGTGATTGTCACCACGGCCATGATCCCAAACAGAGCTGCACCAGAGCTGATCACCAGCGAGATGGTGGCCAGCATGCGGAAGGGGTCGGTGATCATCGATCTGGCGGCGCAAACCGGTGGCAACTGTGTCTACACGGAGCCGAACAAGGCGGTGGTCTCTCCGAATGGCGTAACGGTCGTGGGAGCGGCTCCGTCGCAGGGAATTTGGGGGGGGGGGGGGGCTCCGCTTTTAGAAACAGGATCTTCCACTCTGTCTTAGGAGACGAACTATGCATCTCAGATGGCATCGCAGTCAAGCGAGATGCTGGGAAGCAACTTCACTGCCATGCTGGAGGCCTTGCCTCTTGGGCGTCTTGGGCGTCGCTGCATGGCTCCGTTTGCAGGTGCTGGGAGGTGCCGAGAACTTCGGCGGGGAGCACTGGGACGACCCAGTTGTGAAGCCAGCGATCGTGGCCCGCGGGGGCGCTGTGGTTTGGGACCCCAACCCACCCAGGCAGGAGCGAGGAGCGAGAGCGAGAAAGAGAAGCAGAAGAAGAAGAAGAGAGTTCTTGCTTCGCTATGCTTCGCTTGTTTCAGCCTCAAGGCCCCCGGCGGCGGCCCCGACGGGGACTGCGGTGGAGGGCAACGGCATTGGCGGCTTCGGCGGTGCCTCGCCGATGCCGCTGCCACCACCCGAGGAGGCACATGCTGTCATCGCCTGGATCCAGGCCCCCCGGCATCGGCGGGGGCGACAGCATGTTTTGAAGTGACCGACTTGCTTGCATGCTATTCATGATGCATGCTTCAATTACCTCGTGTTTTCCTGCTTTCACTTTCAAGATCCGACATTTTCCAGTTTGCGCGGAGCGCAGAAGAGCTACGCTCCATGGCAGGAGCACAAGGACGAGCTGGCACTGGGCGTGGGCGGTGCCGTGGTGCTTGGCTTGGGCCTCGCAGTGGATATCCCCGAGGTACAAAGAAGGGGGGGGGGGGGCTGGGGGTGGTGCGGTTTCCACCCATTCATGTCATAGTTGGGACGAGTGAGACTAGTGAGGAGGGCCTGAAGTGTTTTTGTGAATCCGGGGATAAGGGTTTTCTGAGATACTCCCACTGCTTCCAGCGTGCCAAGCTGCATGCTCTTCGATTGGAGGCAGAGGTCACGCACCTGGGCTACTTTGTCCTCTCATGCTTGATTGGAGCCTTGGAGGCAAAGTCAAACATCTGGCCGCGCTTAAAGACGCGGCCTGCCGTTTGGAAGTCGTAATGCTGTCGCAGAGACCGCGAGCCCTCATAGTCGCCATGCAAGCGCCTTGAGGAAACTTTACAGTGGCCGGCGTGACTCCGGCGCTGCACACTCCGCTCATCAGTGCATCTGGGAAGCAACAGGGGCTGTAGCTGAGGCCATGGGTCACCCGGCCACAACATGCCTCTGTGTTTCTCCCATGTTGTCTAGGTGACGAATGCCATCAGCGGCATCATTGTGGTGGGCGGAATGCTGCAACTCAGTGGCCCCGTGCTTTCTGCGCGTGTGGCCTGTGCTCTGGCAGCCGTGTTCCTCTCGAGCGTGAACATCGTCGGTGGCTTTGCTGTCACGGCTCGGATGCTGGACATGTTTCGTGAGGATGCCAACCCAAAGAAGGCTCTGGCAGAAAGGTCCTCCTGAGGGTTTGCGAGGCCCCTGTCGCGGGGCCGGCGGCCCGCACAGAAGGACTTGTACAAAGCTCGCGTGTTCTGAGTTCGTCGAATTACCTCACTGAGAGTGCCCAGTGCGGGCATCTCCGTGACGAGGGGGGGGAGCAGAGCAGAAAGGGAAGCCAACGAAAAAAGGGGAAACCTTGCAGCCTGCAGCGGTCGCTGAGCCTCACTGAGCCGAAGTTCCTGTCAAAACGTCGCAAGCTTTTGAGAGGCCGGCCGCCAATCCGGCGGAGGCAGCGGCCTACAGCCCAGTGTGCCTTGAAAGCTTCACCACTGCTCGGAGCTCCGACGCCCACAGGTGCTTTGGTGCCCCTACTGCTGGCTCTCGCCGCTCTGACGGACAAGCTGACGCAGGCCTGGTTGCAGCTGCCTTGGAAGGAGGGCTCATCTTAAAAGCGGGAGAACGGCGTGTCGAAAGGCAGCTGCCGACGGCTGGGATGCGCTGGCCTGAGCTGACAGCCGACTTTTAGTCGGAGCCTGTTGACTTAGGGAGGTAGGGGAGTTACATGGAGTGATTTCATCGATGATTTCTTGAGCTGGGCGTGGGGGGGGGTGCATGGTTAGAAAATGGAATGGCCATTGCTAGCTAAACAATTGGCTTTCACTAAGGAACTCAACTACAGAGTATTAACACTCACTGCAGAGCCCTTGTGTACCTGCCGCTGGGCCTGGCAAAGCTGAGGTCTCTGCAGTTGCGGATGAGGTTCCCGACGTTTGCCGCTGCATTGACCAGGCCAGGAAGCAAGTTCCCCCCGTCCTTCAACAAAAAGCCCTCAGGCAGCCCCTAAGCCGCCGGAGCTCGATCAAACACCAAAGCCCAAAGCCTTGGAACTCCTAGAGCAGTATGTTCTTAGTAGAGACCCCGCACGGACCTTCAAGACCACATGGCTTTCCTTTTGGAGGTTGCTGCGACGCTGCCGTCGCAGGGCTTGGCTCCCGTGCTGCGATGTTGCGGAGGACTCGCCACGCTGGCGATGCTCGGCGCGCTTTCGGGTGCCTGTGGGCTTTCTGTGCGATAAGCTGGGGAAATTCGGGCAGGAGGATTCCTCTCTCTTATGAATATATTCATTATACCATGGAGAACGAGGTTAAAAGGACCTGGTCTCCCAGAAGCCAGGCGGCGCCAGGTGTGGAGGCGGCCTTTGCGACGTGCACCGGGGCACTTCGACACCACGCAGCCTGGAAGAAGAAGCGTTGAATGTCGTCGAGCTGGGAGAGTGGCGCTGATCCTGAGGCACAGCCGCTGCGCCCGGAGCTCCTGGCATTGCTCCGAGGCAATCTCAGGAGGCTCTGGAGGTGCGAAGCCTCGTAGGGAGATGTCTTTGGAGTCTCGGGGCGTTGCCAGGCAGCCGCTCACCGAGGAGAGCGACTGGGCCTTGCAGGCCCAGGCCAGGGTTTCGAGTTTTGAGAAGTCTCCAGAGCCCCGGTAGAGAGAGAAAAAGTGCTGAGAGAGGTGCGGCTGCGGACTTTGCTCGCCACCATCTTTGACAGCGGTCTCATCGAGGAGGGACAACATGATGTCACCAAGCTTTTCAAAGCCGAAGTCATTTGCAAGGTGTCCAAAGCCAATTGCCTAGCCCTTGCCCAAAGCGCGGGAGTCAGGCCGATCTACTTGAGAGCTTACCAGCCCTTGTTGAGTCGTGGATGACCTTCGTCTGTGGCCTTGCGGAACGGAAGGTCGTCGCTGGACTTCATCGTTCTCCTGCTTCTGGCCGCGACCTTGGCCCATGATTATGAGTTCTACAGAATAAGTATACGTGTTGCTACACAATTACAGTTAGCTGTTGCGCTAGTGCAGTCATCATCAGCATTCTCATTGCAAGAATTAGCTGCGGTGGTTCTTAGTCTTGAGATGATCATCATGATCTACGTGCACGTGTTCGCCTGAGAGCCTTGAGAGCGCGGAAAATCCAAGTCGAGGTTCGCCGTCTAGCGCGCCCTCCGCCCACGCCGAAGAGGTGGGGCTTGGGCGGCTTGGGGGGGGCAGAGTAGGGGGGGGGGTTCGGGATGTTGGGTTCTCTGGTCAGGATTCTAGGGTTTAGGGCCTAGGGTTTATAAGGGGTCAGGGGTTTCGTGGTCTAGCGTTTGAGGGCTACTATCTATCCTGTTGAAGTGCCAGCCATTTCCATGAGACTGTGTATCACATCATGTAATGCTATATATGTTATGGTATGTTATGGTATGTGGTACGTTGATCTTTGGAGCTGTGCCTGGAGCTGAGCTCTTTGCCAGGCGCAAACGGAAGCGCCGTTCAGAGCCCGAGGAGCTGGAGGAGGCCTGACACTGGGCGGAGTGGGGGCAACAAGGCGGTGTCTCTTTTCTTCCGAGCCCCGGGCATTCCTAAATCAGCAAAAGGCCGTTGAAGATGGATCTGGCTCCCAGCATGCTTTGTGAGGCTACAGAGAGTTACAACCAGCTTAGCTCAAACAGATGCATGCAGCATTGCAGCTATTTATGTTGTATGTGTGCATTCAATCTTTGGTTCTTTTTAAATGTGTGTAACATTCTTGTTTTGAGTTTTTAGCTGTAAGTTCGAGTACAAGCTCTGAAGGGAAGCAGGAAAGGCTCAGGCCCTGGCCTGACGTTGCTTCCTGAGTTTGCTCAGGAGATCGAGGCCCTCACTGCTCCAGGAGAGGAGGAGCGATGCGGGGTAGTTCTCTCTAAATTCGGGTCCTTTTCTCGGGGGTCCTTTTGAGAAGGGTGCCGCAACTATACTTCTTGGGGACCCGAATACGGGACCCCAATTTAGAGAGCTGCTGAGCTGCCCCCATGTCATGTTTTGTCTAGGGTCCTAAAATCTCTGTGTGACAGCACTTCATGGAGGGCTGCTCAGGGGTCGGGGCGCAGGACCTGGTCTTAGACGAGGCGCGACAATCCCTTCTTCAACGGCGGTAGGAAGATGCCATAGACTCTCGTAGACCATAGGCTTGAATGTGCCTTTGATTGCTAGGCTTTGGATGCTCTGCTCTCCGTGGATCCGGGCAGCATGTGCCCTTTGTTTTTCGACAGCTCCACACAGAGCGACAGCTCCGCAAAGTCATGAGTAGCTTGGTGGAGTTACCATATCCCCAACTAGTATAAGACAGTTGAGGTGTGCAGTGAAACGCCTGAGCCTCCTGCGGAGTCTCAGTGAGAGAAACTCTGTCGGGCAGCTGCCTGGGACGTCCCCACCGTTGCCCTCGGTGTTCTGACGAAGCCATCATGCGCGCAACGCAAGCTGCTTCGTGAGCCGAAGAGTCGGAAAAGCATACCACTCGGAAGCATCAGTCATGTGGACCTAGCCTTATACCCTACTGTACCAGATCCAACTGCCAGCTGGTTGACGGGAATTTGTGGAAGGTTGCTCTTTTGGGCACGCCTGGTCGTTCCCGTGTTTCTCATGATGATCTCAGGATACACAAGTGCTAGATCTGGAGACGGTACGGCCGTGCTGTCGTTGACACAGTGAGAAACTGATCTGCTGCTTGTATGGCATGCCGAAGCGGTGCTTGATGAGACAAACTTCGACAAATCACTCCACTCTGAAGCAAGCATGTGGAGCTGAGCTCATGCACTACCAGCTGATGCACCGGAGGATGCGTGTTGCTGGTTCCTTGTTGGCAGCTCTCGTTGGAGGGTTGCTCGTGTTTTGGGCATGCCTGGTCACTGTTACTCGTACCTGCCTCTTTCATGATGATCTCAAGATACACAAGTGCTAGATCTGGAGACGGTGCAGCCGTGCTGTCGTTGACACAGTGAGAAACTGATCTGCTACTTGTACGGCAGGCCGAAGCGGTGCTTGATGAGACGAAATTCGACAAATCACTCCACTCTGAAGCAAGCATGTGGAGCTGAGCTCATGCACTACCAGCTGATGCACCGGAGGTTTCGCGCTGCTCGTTCTTTGTTGACAGCTTTGGTTGGAGGGTTGCTCGTTTTGGCCTGATACTCGTACCAACCGTTTTCATGATGATCTCAAGATACACAAGTGCTAGATCTGGAGACGGTGCAGCCGTGCTGTCGTTGACACAGTGAGAAACTGATCTGCTACGTACGGCAGGCCGAAGCGGTGCTTGATGAGACGAAATTCGACAAATCACTCCACTCTGAAGCAAGCATGTGGAGCTGACCTCATGCACTACCAGCTGATGCACCGGAGGATGTGCGTTGCGGGTTCCTTGTTGACAGCTCTCGTTGGAGGGTTGCTCGTTTTTTGGGCATGCCTGGTCACTGTTACTCGTACCTGCCTCTTTCATGATGATCTCAAGATACACAAGTGCTAGATCTGGAGACGGTGCAGCCGTGCTGTCGTTGACACAGCGAGAAACTGATCTGCTACTTGTACGGCAGGCCGAAGCGGTGCTTGATGAGACGAAATTCGACAAATCACTCCACTCTGAAGCAAGCATGTGGAGCTGAGCTCATGCACTACCAGCTGATGCACCGGAGGATGCGTGTTGCTGATTCCTTGTTGTCAGCTCTCGTTGGAGGGTTGCTCGTGTTTTGGGCATACCTGGTCACTGTTACTCGTACCTACCTCTTTCATGATGATCTCAAGATACACAAGTGCTAGATCTGGAGACGGTGCAGCCGTGCTGTCGCTGACACAGTGAGAAACTGATCGACTTGGTCTCGCGCAGCAATGGATGCAGAATGTTGCCGAGCAGATGCAGGAGCACAATCAACCGTGCATTTGCAACCAAGCGCATGTGAATGTGAGCAATATTCATGATGTGTCGAGGCAGGCAGGGGTTCGTTCCGTCGCCGCGAGGTACCACTGCCTCGGGATGCTGCTGTTAACCCTGTCTGCATGCGCCGTGGACCTGCTGCCTCCTTAGATCTCGCGAGCCATCTCAGGCGTTTCTGAAGCCTCCAAAAGGGATCCATTTCAGCGATTTTCCCAGGTGCAGTGAGAGCCGCTTGCCATGGGCTGACCCCTTGCTGCCGGACTGGGGAAGAACTTCGCATCTTCGGCCTAGGACCCAGGTCCGAGCGCCTCTCCAAACGCCTCCTTTTGCAGGAGTCGTGCATTGACGAAAATGTCCGGCTGAGGGTCGTAAGCCAGGGCCCGAGACTTCTGCGCGCAGAAATGTGCTGTCGAATATCGGCTCTTCAGTTTCCAGCCAGCAGTGCCCAAGAGCCCCCATTCGACCCTTCCCCCCTTGCGACACATGCCGGAGTACGAGCTCCTTTATTGGCCCGTGACTTGTCTCTCGATGCTTAGGAGCTGTGCCTATAGGAATCTTGGTGGCTCTCTGTTTGTGGGCGGTCTCGAGCAGCATCAAAACACCCCGTGTCAGGTAAGCGGTCTCGCCGAGCCGATCAGGCTAAGCTTCGTGGTGGCGGGCATCCCCTTCAAGGATACGACTCCCCTCACGGACCCAGAGTTCAACGACCGGAAGTTGGCACTGCACCCTTATGCGCCGGATGCTGCGGGGCTTCCCATTCTCGTCTTTGACGGCAAGGCGGGCACCGTGCGAGCAGGGAGGAGAGTCGCTTCTTAGCATTTCGGAGAGATCCGAAAGAGACGCCAAAAAGCAGACCCAAGCCCATAAACGCTGCAAGGCCCCCAAGCCAACAAAAAGCCAACCCCATTTGGAGGTCTGCTGCCAAAGCCGAGCCATCCTCCGCTACATCGGGCGCCTTGCACAGCACGAGGGGGCCTTCCTCTACCCCACGGAGGACGCACGGCACACTTGTAGTCAGGTGTCCTTTTTTTTTGTTGGGAGGGGGGGGGGGGGTTTTTTATAGAGTCATATAGAGAGAGGCTAAGGGGTTCCGTTTAAAGTGGGGGCATATCAGGGCTTCTCTAGGGGTACGAAGCCTACCCCTGAGAGCTCCTTTTTTTGTGAAAGATCAGGATCCCTTGGAGCAGCTTCTCTGTGATGAGCTCATCGACCTGAGCGAAGACTTGCGGAGGCCCATGAGTGCAACCGTCACCAGCCAATACAAGGACCCAATAGGGGCGCGGCAGATTTTTTTAAACTTCAAGTTCCCAGAAGTAGAAATAGTAGCCGGAGTACAGGTTTTGGGAGGTCCTAGGTATGAAGCTCCCTGGCAAGAATTCAGGATGCGGCAGAGAAGGAGGCAGCTCGCCATGCTCTTCTGGCCCCGGATGGAGAGTGCACGAAGTTCTTGAAGGTGCTGGACAAGAAGTTTGGGGAGAGCTTTCCCACCAAGCTAACGATTGGCAACATCTACGCCTGGTCTATCGTCACTATGTTCCGCCAGCCAACCTTCATTCCAGAAATTCCAGCAGATGCGCTGTCCCCGTACGAGAACCTGACCAAGCTTCATCAATGGATGTCCAGCCTTCCCGCAATCAAGGCCTATTACGAGTCTTCGCAGGGCCGCGACAACTACAAGCCCCTTTGACTCCGTGAGCTTTCCCGGCAATGCGACTTTGTCGCAGGCCTGCGCTGATGTTGCTCCTCTGTGTTCCTAGAATCGATTTCACATGGAACGGCCCAAAGCTGGGGGGAGAGAACGCCTCTGAGCGCTTTTGCTTTGCGCGGCCATTGCCCCCACTTCTTTTGTGTCTTTCCTCGGGGCGTTCTGAGGCCAGGGCTTTGCCTTGGTTGGGCGCTTTCTTTCGGAGCAGCATCCTCGGGGGGTCCCTCTTTTCGGCTCCCGAGGTCCCGGTTGGTCCCGGTTTGGAGTGCCTTGAGGTACGGGCTCCCAGCCGATCTCGATCGTGAGGAGGTGCCGCACTCCTGTCCACTCTGTGCACTCTGTGCACTCTGTGCACTCTCGCGTCCGACTTTGGGTGCCAGGTGGAGACCTCCAGCTTCCCGGACTTCACCGCTGAGGCCGGCGAGGAGGAGGCGCCAACAACAAGCAGAGCAGCGGCCGCCCTTTTTTTTCTCTTGCAAATACAGCTACAAAGAGACCCCTCTCTGATTCTCAGGTGGTGGGTGCCGTTGCTGCCTTCTCCCTCTGTCACGGAGCTCGCGCTCTTTGCATCGCAGAGGCCGAAGTTCCGCCCCAGAACGGCTCGAGCTTCTTGGGCTTTTGCTTTTTGCCTCAGGCGGCTCTGCAGGGCCTCGAGGAATCGAAGGAGCAGGCCGACAAACCCAGCAGCCCCTAAAAAACTGCACACAGACGTCAGCTTTTTTCCACCAGGGGTTTTTCTGCGTTCTTCTTTTTTGTGGGGAGGTCCTCTGCCTGCAGCGTGCCGCAGAGCTCCGGGGCCTCCTCCTGAGGTCGGAGGGCCCCCAAAATGTCGGAGACCTTTACGGTTTGGAACTTAGGGTTTTAAAGAGCTTAGAATTACCAGCTTATGGAGTGGTTTGCGACATAGATAAAGCGGGTGCGTTTGCGAGGGCTCGGATGGAGGGTTTGGGGGCGTCGAGAACGGTCCTCCGAGGTGACGCGCTTGAGGTCTCAAAGCTTAGGGAGCCCAGCAGGCTTGGTTAGTCTTTTTTTCGTACTGTTGGGGCACGTGTTGCTGGACACATGTCTGGACTTTGTGCCTCATGGTGGCAGCAGCGTTTGCAGTCTTTAGTTGCTTACAAGCGCAGCGCACTGCAAGTGCGGCAAAGCCGTGACATGTAGCCTTTTGGGTGTGAACTTGCCCGTGGACATTCGGACTTGGGGTGTGTGTGCCTGCGCCAACTACGTCATGCGTGTCTTGCTGGAAGTGACGTTCCATCTCGAAGTGGGGCATTAGGACCAAGGCTTTTGTCAACCCGACCTTGCTTGCTTTCTCCCGGTAGTGTTCAGTTCGTCGGACTGTCGGCAGGTCTCTGGCTGTAAACCATCCCGTCACCTTCTTCCGGAGCTTGGCATTGACCTTGGGCCCAGCGCCTGGAGTTCATGTTCGCAGATGACATCTAAAGCTTTTGCACGTTGACGGCCCTGTGCTTGCCAGAGGTGTCAAAGGCATGGCACCCAAAGCTCAACCACTTATGCAAAGCAAGGCACGCGCGCCGCCGTGCCCTGCTCCTGCCCATTGGGCCCCTTGCACCCCTCCGCCCCGGCACAAGGAGTTGATGGCCAATCTGGTTTCCACCGTGCTCAGCGGAAGCTCGGATGCCACACGGCCGCACTGAGCCACACCGAATGAGCACTGGTGCATCTACATTTACCTAAGCTGCCCAAAAATCAGCCAAAGAAGAGTGACGAAGTCCCTTCTGAACTGAATTTCAATCCTGAAGGTTTTTGCGAAGGTTCGGTTCGCCGTCAATCCGCGTGTGACTCGCCTCCGAGCAGGCCTTGAAAGTTCGCCGTGGTTTGCGCAGCGATGAAGCCGACGACGAGGACGCGAAGATCGTGTTTTGCTTGCGATTGGTGTCCAAACTGTGAAGCACAGCAGCCACCAAGTCTGGCAAGGGGCCAGGGGAAGCTTGCGCGGCACTTTGCGAATCGCTGGTGCAGCACATCAGCAAAAAGATCCTGGCAGGCCTGGCCGGCCTGCAAGGGCGAGCGTCTGACTACATCCTTCTGCCCTGCAAAGATTTCAGGTGATGGCGAAGATGATGTGGTCGCGAAAGCATGGACGCTTCTGGACGCTAGCAGATAGCGCGAAAGGATACCTCGCTCGCCTTTGTGGTATCTCCTGGCGAGGACGACATCTGCCATTTCGCCAAGACCGATGTGCCTCGCACCCGGCGCCTGAACCCGTCCCTCCCAAGGCCCAGACGGTGCTCCAGTTCCGAGGTCGACGCCTTTGGTTCAGATGGTCCTACCGCAAGCCGGTGCTCGGCTGGCTGCGGCCAGTGGAAGGCGGGGAGGGGGGGAGGGGAGGGTCACGGTCACGGAAAGAAACCCGGAGTTCTGGGCCGAGCGGTCGGTCGCAGGTTGCAGGCTTCCGGAATCGAGGCGGCTGTGGCATGTTGCCAGTGCGTCCAAGCCTCAGCTCAGCTCCCAAGAACAAGCTGGGCCGGGAGAGAGAGCCACATAAAACAGTCCTCAGGTCGAGAGCTTGGTGACCTGCTTGGGCCGCAATGTCCTCGAGAAGTTGAAGGACCTGGTGCCCCCGCTCCTGGACTTGGCCTTGACCCGGCGGCAAGAGGCACCCCCTGAGCCGAGCAAAGCCGAGTGCGACGCGTTTCCCCCCCACCCTTAAGCAGGGCAAGCAAGACGCCGCGGCCCTGGACCTGACCTCAGTCGCCTCCATGCCCTATTACTCCGGGGGGGGGGGGGGCCNNTCCGGGGGGGGGGGGGCCAGCTCTTAAACTTGAGAGCTCAGAGAGCCGCTCTCCGCCCAGGAGAGGTTGGTGCTGAGAGCTTTGGGCGCCCTTTGCCGCTCCCTTGGCCCCTTCCTCTCGCCCTTCCTGGACCGCTTCCTGGAGGCCTGGAGAACAAATCGAAGACGGTCCCTCTTCCTCCTCTCTTTCTGGAGCCTTTCTCGTAGGTCAGCTGCCGCGGACCCAAAGCAGGCGGTCCGGCAGTGCTGCAGGACGCTCCGTGTAATGTTTGGCATACGCTTTTTCAGCTCAGCAGAGCGGCGTCTCTGCAGGAGCTCGCAGGCGAGCTGGTGAAGGGGGTGCCCCACAGGCTCCTCTTGGCGTCCGTGGGGACCTCAACTCTGAGAGAAGCGAGGCCTCATCTCTCTCACGACTGTATCTGTAAACATATTTATACTAGTAATTACATATAGATGCACTTACACAGATACATACATACAGAAACATAGATGCACTGACACAAATACATACATACTAATACATCGACACTTAGATGCACTTACACAGGCACAGACATACAGTACATGCGGTGCATGCATACACATCTACATGCACATCTACATCTACATCTACTTCGACATATACTGTATATGTACATGCACATGTACATATACAGTATATTTACTTACGTATATATATATATACACACACATACATATATATATATACACACACATACATACATACATACGTACGTACGTACGTAGGTAGAGAGAGCGAGAGAGAGAGAGAGAGAGAGAGAGAGAGAG